CAGTCTAATGATGTGTCTATTCAAACAAACCATGAATTTGTCTCAGTAGCTGTGCATTTTGACAAAGGGCAGCTACATGTTTTGCTATTACAAAATACAGAAAGTGGTAATCAAATATTCATAATATATTTGCAAAATCATTAGGTAGAAACTGTAATTATTATAATTGTTTCAATACATACATGAGAAAAACACATGTTTCTTGTCTGCTGCTTTAGATTAAAACTGTCAATTTAAAGGCGGGTTAAGGGCAGGGGTTGACACCATGTCCATCCATACTGTATAATTTACAACAGTTATATAGGTGGTTTTCATGCAATCTCAGGAGACACAAATAACAATGGTGAAATGAACAAATTCTGGTGGACAAACAAAGGGAACTAATGAGTGATCTTTTGTTTACCGTCCACCAGCATGGCAGCAATGACGTAATGTGAAAACTACCTATACTAGGAAGAATTGACACAAACTCTAACTTGATAATATTTTGTCAATACAGCTACAGTTTGTACATGGATATCCTACAATTATGTGAAGTTATTGGAGCTGCAATAAATAGCACATGTATATCTCTGAATGAAGAAGCATTTCAACACTGATCATCAATAATAAATTGCCGAACTCTTCTGCTACTGGAATATTTAATTTGTTTTACACAAGCCTGTCATTGCACTATGGCATAATATAATTTTATACACTGTAACAAACAGAAATAGAAAACATCTAAAAAGAAATGCGAATTGACATAGCTCATGAATCTCAAATGGTTTCCAAGAAAGAAAGAGTAAAGCCTGTATAAACTGTTTTAGGAAAAGGTTTAATGTCCACAGCCGAATATTCGATCATTAAAGTTGTCAATAACAAATGCATCGGGGTTAAAAAGCTTCACCTGCTAATGGCCATCTGGTCAAGTTTTGAAAATCCGGTCCAACAGATCAGACGAAGATAAGCTTACACGTAAGCTTAAGCGTAAATCTTTCAGAACTTTTGAACTCTTAACATGAGCTTAACCTGCTTATCTAGGACTTAATATTTGCAGTTAAGCAGACTGTAAACTCAATAGCTTTTGACTAGATCGAGGCTTTATATTTAAATTTTCTGACGGAATAAAAGACTTCTAACGCAAAAAGATCAGTGTCCGCATGTTTAAGCAGCATTGCGTCATTGGCAGCTGCAGATTGCCCTGAACTAAAGAAGAAGAAATACCTTATTGGAGACCAGCTAACGTTACATCAACATGAGTGACTAGTTAAATTGTCATCATAAAATGTGAGCACATCACCGGTTTCTAATAACGGTTACATTAACGCAAAATATGTCAGAACAAAGGATATCTTCAAACACTTCTCCTCCGATGCAAGTTCTTTCTGAACTCTTGCAGCGAGATCCATTGTAAGCCTCGAGATTCGCAGCTGAAACGGAATCAACCCTTACCCCCACACCCGCCAATACTCATCCGCCATATTTGTTTTGCCAGAGCAACCGCAAGGAAACTGGAGCTAATAACCACAAATCTGTGCGGCACTTCTGCCTTCTGCACAAACTTCTGCACAGGTTGCGAAAAGTTGCGAGCCAGCGTATTTTTTTTTTTTTTTGCTATTATCGTCACAACAATGGCAGAAGTTGGCCCAGAAACTGGCTCTCAACCTAGCCCTTTCCACATTGAAGCCATGATTCTTGCTTACGAAGAATCCACGACGTCTGAAAAACGATTGAAAGCCAGATTTTTGAAAGATGTCAAAATTAAAGAGAGAGACCCGAAACAACCAATGGTTGCAAGGCCAGTGTGGCCGTATAAATACTGGGGCACCAACTACACAGACTTCGATTTGGAAGACAGCAGTACTCGGGATTTCAATCCACAGACTCAACGTAGCGTGCCTTTAAACGCCACCAGTGAAAGTCAGGCCCCGCAAAAAGGAGACTGGAATCATTTTAGTTCGCTAGAGACCAAACAAAACGAATTAAACCCGGTAACAGATGACGCTAACACCGAGAAGGAATCCACGCCCGAGCCCTCCTTAGAGGAAAAGAATGATTCCATCCAAAGAGCAATTAACCTGCTATCCGACCTGCAAGACTTAGCATCAGTAGTTCTTAAGATTTACAGTGAGGCAGGAGAAAAAGATTTAACAGTGAAAGAAGGTGAAAAAAGACAGGCAACACTGGCCGAAGGAAATCCCGACATATCGAAACCGGAAGTAATGGACGAACACCAACAAAGAGAAACCAAGGGGAATGATCAGTTTCCAGGTATCACGCCAGATAACACTCTCAGTTTTAATTTAAATTCAAACAGCAACGCATTCAAGGGTTCAGAAGAACAAAGAACTAACAGTCCAACAGAGGAGTCAAACAGACAAAGCAAAGAAATCGTAGCCAAGGATCTTACTCTGAAGAACACTTCTTTCGCTGGGGAGTGTGAAGTTCCGCTTGCAGCAGAAGAATCTGAGACGGAACAGAGCTCTGAAGGTGGAAATGTAAAAAAAGACCTTGATACACTTGACTGTATTAACAAGGACACTTGCATCAACGCAGAAGTGCGATCCGAAGAAACTCTAGCGGAAACAAAGATTGGGTTAAAGGGAAAAGGAGCAGATGACTGTAAAGAGAGGCACCCCACCATTGTTGAATCAGAGCAAGACACAGGGGACAGATATGTGAATAAAACCCTTAAATGCGATAGAGAGATTAGCACATCTGAGATACCTCATTTTAAAAGTGAATTGCAACTTCCAGTTTCACAACATTCTGTATTACACAATTTCATCCAAGAATGGTTACCAAGAATCAGCATTGATGAGTCCACTAGTCAATACATCAGACATTTAGTAAGAAGTTTAATGGACAAGACCATCCTTGAACTGCAGGAAGCATGCCCTATATTCTCCAATTGCTACATCATAGAAACGGGAAGTATGGCAGAGGGTACCAAGATAGGCCACCCTGATGAGTTCGATGTCAATGTTGCCCTTCCTGTGCTGGCTGATCCACATATGGCAGAACTATTGTATATCAAACTTGGAGTACAAACACGGCTTCATGAACAAATGTCTGACAAGATTCTTTCTTTCCTGAATCAGTTTTCTTTTGTGGATACTTCCTATGGCAAATTGCTTACAAATGCTTTTCTCCTGCAGGTTTTCCGTGACACTTTAAGGAAACATTTACCAGTGGGATGGGAAATGTTACAGGAAAGTGACATGCACATGATGAGGGTATTTCTAAAGAATCAGACTTTAACCATTCATTTACAATGTACCTCTGGACCACATTCAGGTTTTACCCTGTCTATTGATGTATGTTTTGGGATTCCTCTTAACACCGAGCGACTTCAGACTGTCCTTGTTGGTGATGTTTTTCATGCTGTTCATCTTTCCCACATTCAGAGTGAGTGTATGCGACTGAACACAGGAGTCGTTGCAGTTATCAGTCGAAACCCTTTGGTTGGACAACGTTTCTTTTATAATACAGAACTGTGCAGATTTCACTGCAACAATTTTGCTGTAGACTGTTACAAACTTTCAAAACATGTAGCAAACATGTTTCTGCCAAAAGTTAAGAAAAACAATTGTACTTTATGTGAGGACACCTTGATCCCTTCCTTTTACTTGAAAACTGCAGTAGTTTTTATGATGGATGTCTACACTGAGGAAAATGACTGGTCTGGTGTTCAGCTTGGAAACAGACTGATAGAAATATTTGAAATTTTATACCATTGTTTCTTAAACCAATATTTAGCTTACTACAGCTATCCAAGTAATGGTCTACAGCAAGAGAGGGCAATGAAATATAATCCAACAGATGGCAGCCTAAAGGTAGGGATTGGCTTGGATGGTGACAAACCTTGCGCTATCCCATGTTTGGAAGACCTTAATTTTGCATCGTCTCACAGAGACATAACCATTGCTGTTGAAAACTACTGGAGATACATGCACAGTGAAGAATGGACAGTCTGTGACCTGCTACACAAACTCACTGAGGTCCTCTATGTCTTCAAATTTACAGAATAACATTATTATACATGTACAAACATTACTTTGTGTTACTCCCTTTCTTTTCTGACCTATGGTGTCTCCTAAGTCAGTTTAAGACCTGCATGGAACCAGCAGGCTTCTTTAGCAAAGTAATCTTGTTCACAGGTTAGAACATTGCAGTTACAACATCCAACAAATATTAGATGTAGTTTCTATCAAATTATGGGTGATGGTTTAGGTGGAACCAATATTGTTGTATTAGGAAAATTAATCATAATGATTAACTGCCTTTTCATATCTGAATAAACACACTATGATTATTACTAACGTTTTACTGTGCTTTTCACAAACATGCGAATTCTGAAGTTAAAAATCCAACTGACGATTGCGTTTTTTGCTGCCGTCAATCATCTTAACAGACCTCTTAGGAAACAAAACTTAGCTTTAACGGGTTCAAAAGGTCAAGGTTTGTGATTTGTGATTGGTGGATTTCGATCCCAAAACACACAAAGACACAAAGGTCCAAGCAACGAACACTAGCATTAATACTAACTGCCGTCGCTTTTTGCGTTATGTGAAGGCGGCTTTTGAACTTTAGAGTTCGCATGTTTGTGAAAAGCGCAGTAAGAGTCCATCAAAAAGTTCTCTAGTATTATGTTTATTTCTTCAAAATCAAATGTGCAATGCCGAAGGTAACAAGAACTCTAAACCTCTTTACTATGTTAAAACAAATAATTTTCAATTTGCAATTATTTTTAAACAGGATCAAAGTTAATAACAAGCCAACATGTCATAAGTCAGACAAGCCAAAGAGAAAAAAATTGATCATCAAGACTTGAGAAGAAATGGCAGTAGAGAGATTTTTCATTGGAAAACAAAAACAATAATCGAGAATAAATAGTGTTTATTAAATTTTTGCATACTACATGTATGTAAAAGTACATTATTTTTCACTCAAGACTTGACAAGAGAAGCAGAAGTCTGAAATGTACAGAGCAATACAGCTGTTTGTCCTAAACAGTACTAAGATTGGCTTTTGCTGCTGTACTGATGTTTTGAATGTCCAGACATTTGAACGGTAGAGCCCTTTACAAATCTCATGGGGATAAAGCCACCCTCTCCAGATGAAACAATACAAGCAACATTACCTGCAACATGAAAAACAGGTTTTAATCAAGAAACTGTTATTTAAACTATGCTCAAATGTAGCTTGGATCAAGCTGTCAGTAGTACATGTAGATCACCTACATGTGAAAAGGAATCCAAACTGTGAAGGGTTTAATTTACTGATGTGAAGGTCTGGTGTAACTAAAGGCCATGTAACTCAAACTCCAGCCCTAGACACCTGAGGCTACGTAGCTGCATGTATGAGGGGGGTGAATAGGCAAATGGATCAGCAGATTTTGGAAATATTTTTGCCCGGATTTCGGATTCAAAGCAAGGTTTTAATGGATTTCTGCATCCTGCAATTGCAGCGGATTGCAGATTCATCCATTTTTGGGCCCAGATTTTGGACTGTGTGTGTAATAAAAGTAATTTTGCCCAGATTTCAGATTCAGGCAAAATTTTAACAGCAGATTTGGTTAATAAATCATAACGAATCGGTGGATTTGCATACCCCTATTCACCACCCTCATGTGTGTGCCACTGTGTATGGTATGGTTTTCAAGCAGCTTCATCTGGAATAGACAATAGTCAGCTTAGTCAGAAATCAGAAAGTTTGGGTCTAGAATAAGGTATCTTGTTCCACGGAACTGTTCAGTTGGTTGAAGATTTTTAGACTAGGGAAACTGGGAATAAAAAAATAATCAAATCTAAATTTACCCACAACTCATTTTAATAACAAAGAAAGCAACAACTTAAGAAGTTTCTGAAAAATAGCAGCTCTAGGAAAGGAAGGGATTTTGGGCACATCTCCACCTGAAAATTCCTTTATAGTCGCACCTACACTTGCACTTGACTCATCTTAAAATTCAATTCCTCTGGGCTAAGTCCTACTCTGTATTACAAAATGTAGAAAAATGGTAGATTATCCTCACGAGGTGGAAAAATGTTGGTACAAGATTGAAAATATCCCATTGTCCTCTTTCACTTACCAATAGATATCCGCACCAGAGAAGCATTAAAGGCTTGCTTGACAGTCTTAAGTTTTAGTCGCCCCTTGTCAAGAAGGAAATTCTCTTGCTCCACTGCCCCAGTTAGTTCATCTGTCCACATCACACAGACAAATTCTGGTGGGAAACACAACTAAGTACTGTAAATAAAGATGTCAGAGTTGACATAATCCTTTCATTTACATTGTAACTGGAGGGTACTAGTCTAAAAATGTTTTCACTTGCACAATGAATAATGTTGTTATCATTTGTTGCAAATTTTTCTTCATTTTCATTGGCTGAGAGCTCATCACATGACCTTCAAATAACTGCCTACAAAATAATAATGGCCTCCTCATGCGCAATGTCATTCAACTTTGTTTGGCTGCAAATGATATTCAGCTCATTCAGAAATAAAAGCACGCTTTTGAATAAAGGTTAAAGGAGTAGCCTGGAACCAGGCTCTGTACTAGGGGGGGGAAAGAAAAATGGGGTGAAACAGCAAAAGTCAGCGAGTGAAGGGAACTGAGTGGTGGACTGGGGAGGGGGAAAGGGCGACAGAGCCTGGAGACATACATGTACCTTTAATGCTGCCATTCCATGATACCAGATTCTGGTATCATGCTCTGATAAGTCTAATGCAACAATGTTGACAGATTCACTCTGTTGTTGACAGACGAAATATCATGCTTTTTAATACCCAGAAAAGGACGGATTTCCAGCATGTATTTCGTGCAAGCAATTTACAAATTTCTTTACGAGACTCTTTGCGTATTCCTTGGCTCAAACAGGGCTGTTCTCTAGCAGAGCCAGGTGGCCCCTGGCGCCTAACTTTTGCACTCGGGCAACTAGAAAATCTCAGATTTTTCACACAAATCGTGTGCAGGGCACCCTAGATTTTACAGTTTCAGAGCACTGGGCTCCCTTCAATTTTCCTTAGAGCACAGCCTTGCTTAAAGATGAGCAAAACCATAGCAGCAACTATTTTCCCTGCTCGCCGATTTTTTTTACCTCTTGTCCCCACTGGAGAGCCTGGCCCAGGCTGATCAAGGAGTGGAGGAACCCAAAAATGACCGGCAATTCATAGCATGCAGATGTGTGATTCATTGAAGTATGATCACAGGTAAAAAGGAGCCAGACAGAACTGACACAACATGTAATAATGACTTGCAATAATTTTCTCTGAGAGGAAAGCGTTTCCATTGAGTTCAAGAAGAGAGAACTAGAATAAAATATCTGTACCTGCAGCATCTTGTAACGGATACAAGGGGCACTTGTGTTTTTCATCCATATTATTTGATGTCATTTCAATAATTCTCTTTTCAAGTGCAGCAACATTTGCAGTTATCTCTGAAAGTGTACTCATCATAGTTGATCTTAACTCTTTAATTTGTTTCAAACAACTGCTGAGGTCTTCTGCAAAACAAAATAAAATTTGTAGGCAAAACTGTGACCTAGAGTTGTATGGGATTGTGGCCTTTTACAATACAACAAACACAGACAAGACTTACTCTTTGAAAAAGAAAGGCAGTAAATAATTTATTTACAATGTACAGTAGTGTAAAAGAAAGAAAAGCATCTCCATTGAGAGGTCCAAATAACAAAACATTTTGGACAAAAAATATTATGCCCTCAAGGTAACATGCAAAACTACATGCAATTTTGAGATAAATCAAAAAGTCACAGTACATTGTGTGTATAACAGTATAACAGTCGTACCTTTAATAACATCTTTTGAGTTGTCACTGATTTCTCCATTACCATGAGAAGGTTTCAGTTCAGAGATCAAAGATGCATTCTCATTTTCCACCACTTTAATTAATCCGTTAAAAACACTTCTGTCAGGAAGCCTCAAAGATGGTGAATCTTCACTGGACTGATCATTGTTTTCTTGCTGATCAAAGGTTCCCTCAGATTTCTTCACACTGTCCTTAGAAGGAACTGTAGTGAAACACTTTAGGGTAACATCATATTGGTCAGTATTCGTGGATGGCGGAAAAGCAGTCAGGTTAACTGGTTCTTTTGATTTCCCAAGTAAACAAAGAAAGCTTTGTCCATCTCCAGGAATTGTGCATATTCCTTTAGGTTTATGGTTAGGATCCAGTTCTAACACCTCCTTTTGAACCTGAAACTCAGTTTTACCAGTCAGAGTGGATGTCTGAAGAGAATAGCAGTGAAGCTTGCTGCAGCAATGACTTCCTACAACAACAGATTTTGTCAGTGGCTGTTTGAGAGAAAAGAAGAAAAAGCATTTTGTCAATATGTATACCTTTACCTACTCTTGCTTAACCCTTAAAGTCCCAATATCCTCTTACAAATTCTCCAGATAGCCTCTCAAGGTGTCTTTTCCCGCAGACGTCCTTTGAGGTTTGTTTGTCATGCATTCATTTCTGCCCTGTAGGGGTGAAATGAACGCGTGACGAACAAACCCCAAAGGACGTCTGCAGGGAGGCTATTCTCCAGACTGATCTTATACATTTCCATAAAAATCATAAATAATAAAAGTAACAAGAGGTAGGGATAGCACATTTACATAGTGGCTCTTTGTCTAAAAGATTCTTGGTGGAATTAGAATTTGAAAATGTTTGTTCTTTAGAAGAGGGGAGTCAACAAGGCATGTAAAGATTCGATTTGATTTCGAGTATTTTGATTCGATTATGTTCCTTACTTCTCATAACATAACACAATATGTAAATAACATGCAACCCTAAAACCCTCAATTTGAGAATAGTAACAAGGACAGGAGGATTCATAGTCACTTGGTCATTTATTAAGAACCTGACAAAAAGTGTGTCGCACATGGTTTGCCTTATTTGGAAATTCTCAAGGGGTGGTTGAACGACAGCATTTTTACCAGGCAAAACAAAATGGCACATGAACCGCTATCGTTTTTGCTTGTCAATCAAAAAGACACATTTTAAAGAGTTCTGGATTCTGATTTTACAATTATAATAACTCACTGAGGACACCCTGGGAAAGGTGTGCAAAAATTGAACCAAAATCAAAACGTGGAAGCAAAGAATAGTGAATCGAACCAAATGTTCATAATCACAATTAACTGAGAATTCGATTAATCATTACACCACTCGAGTCAACTCTGATAGCCTGATCACCAACGACAAGCTCAACCTACGTATGACATTGATGCAAGGATTTGAACCTGGGTCACATTTGTGGGAGGCGAATGCTCTCACCACTATGCCACCCTTGCTCCCTAAATGAAAAACTGATAAAAGATCAAAGCAATTTCCCTTAGATGATCATTTTCTTAGTTCTCACAACCTTTTCTCTTGAATATGGAATGATAAAATTACAAGAAAATTGCTGTTGGTCACTCTTGGGAGTTACAAAGGTTAAGAGAGGTGGTCACTTGAAGGTACAGGCTGGCAATAAGACAGTATAAACTCAAATAACCATTAGACCTCTAATTTACTCTCTGAAATATAGCAGCCTGCAAAAAAACGTTATGTCTGATAGTCTGTAGCCTGTGTACAGACGTCCCCTCAGGAAAAATCGGGAGAGGAGAGCAGACACTTAGCGGCAGCAATTAGCACAAGGCCATATGTAAACGTATTTAATAAAAAAACAAGAAAGCGACTGTCAACTTTTCCGTGTACATCCAGCTTTTTATCGAGACCGGTCTGTGCACAGGCTAGCCGAACATCTTCACGCAATGTCCACCCAAAAATCAAATATAACAATCTCTGGCTACAGTCAAGTCAGGTCAAGCGTACCTCCCTAAGATACATTTATTATTCGAAAGTTGAACCGTTGGTAGTTGTAGATTTCAGATTCATCTCTGTGTGCATTCTTGCATGAGCCGTGAATTCACACGCGATTCAGTTACGAAATTTCTACCAGCTCAGTTTCCCTGAATTTGATGTAAATGTCATCTAAGACATTTAATCCATTCAAAGATTTTCAATCTGACCAACTGCAGAGAAGTTCTCTTAAAATATTTACTGTTCATTCGGCATACAGGAATGCCGATTTAAATTTGACACCAGTTACGGGAACGACGAACGGATTCATTTTTTCAAATAATCAATTCAGTAATAGAATCTTTTCTTGGTAAGCTTGACCTGCCTTGGCTGTTAAGGTTGGATTTTGTATGCCTTCTCTTTTATTTACAATACCGACCAGTACAGACAGACGCACCTGCAACCAGTGCAGCAAACATCGGTGGTCTTAACTTCTCATGCCTTTTCGAGAGAGCCAAAATTCAAATACCGGTAAACAAATATGAATGTCCACAAAGGCTGAGTTTTTCCCCGGGGAATCTACTCTGAGGTTCATTCACCAATCACAACACCAGAAATTATTTGCATCATGGCATTAACATTACAACCAATCAGAGGCTGTCCCCAACATTCCGGGGAAACGGGAACACGATTATCATCGGCGATTCACAGACATCCCCTCTCCCGATTTTTCCTGAGGGAGGGGGATGTCTGTACACAGGCTAATAGTCTGGGGCTAGTGGATTTTGCTATTGGGCTAGGGAACTCTGTTCTCAACTTATCTGACTGGGAGAATTCAAACTACAGACTGACAAGCTGTAAACAATCCTGCTGGTCATGAATAAATAATAAATGTATATATAAATTTTTTGCGGGGGGGGGGGGGGGGGGGGGGGGGGAGTGGTTCTGTCCATGTTGGCATTTTTTATAGACGTTCTCCTACCGTTTAGACACAGGTCCATCTACCGGCTTCAAAGCGGAAAATTGGCATTTCCATCTGTTTTAAAATATATTCTTAAATTCTCATTTAACACTGTTTATTGAATCATTTGAAGTGAGGCAGCTCGTATAATCTTTTTTCCTTGTAATTTTCAGGTAACAAACAGATCATTCATTACTCGCCATGCTAGTCCAGACCAGACTAATGATCAACCAACATTCAGCGTCGCTGGGCCACAGAGCGGCCAGGCATCAGAGGAAAGGCTACTGAAACAGAGAGTTTTAAAAGTAAAATGACTCTTTGGCTAGTAAATGCTAGCTCAAGCAAGCTGTAAAACAGACCTTCATTGCACATTGAAGAGACATCAGTACGGTATTACAATTTTAAATAGGAAAACAATAAATTAATTTATTTTGTTTTAGATACAAACCCCCGGCTGTCATTAAGAGGTGGGGGCCGGGGATTTCCCCCCGGCTACTATGAGAGTGATCCCCGGCTACTTTCATAGGAAAATAGAAGAAAAATAGAACCAAACCAAATCCCTAGCTGTTTGAGTCCCCTCCTACTTGTTGTATTTACCCGGCAACTTGAAATCTTACTGACAACCCTGTACAAACCTGAAACAAGAGCAACTCAGGTGAAATAAGTCCTTGGATACTTGTTCTGCACATCTCATGTGGCTTGGGACCCTCACAACAAATGGCAATAACTTGAGCCAAAGCTACTGGTTGTTCTAGCTCATGCTTTCTTGGCTTCAACTTTAACAGAGAAGGTAGCTCATGATTTGTTTTTTGCACGAGAACTGGATGTTCAGCATCATCCAAGCTCTTATCGAAGGAGTCTGGTCCATTTTGATAACTTTGGCTTTCATTTTCAACCTCAAAAAAGTCTCTCTCAGTTTTATTAATACCACAAAGCTTGTCCAAAGGAAGTTCTGTAGCAACTATAAAAGATGAAGATTGCCATGTGACAATGCATTTTATCTTCCCTGTCAGCTCCAGACTATTCCACTGAACAAAGGAAAACTGTTTAGGTTCCCTTAATTCTGTCCATGTAAAAATGCATAAACTTTCCTCTACTGCTACCGCAAGACTTCTGCCATCATTACTCCAAGAACAAGTCTGTAAAATTCTGAAATGAATTAACTTAAGTTAGGTTGCTTGGTTACATAAATGTACCTGTAGTTCTGCTTCAAGTGTTGTCAACTTGATGTTATGAGCAATCGCAGTTTTACAAAATGTACGCACAGTGAAGAAGGGTATGGTAGAAAACATCAAGAAAGTATCAGAGAGAGCTACTACTAGAGAGATTCAAAAGATCTGCATGCTGGGATCCGCGCGAATCCTCAGAAAGGTGCTCAGTGTATGAACAGAATGATTGACTTGAGTGAATGACACTCTAGGTGCATGGTTTGCGCCCGGCTGATGCACAAAAAGAACACCAGCAAAGACTGTGATAAAAGAGATAATAATAATAATAATGATAATAAAAGCTGGAAGACCAGATATTGTGGTTGTAAACAAACAGGACAGAAAGTGTGACATTATTGATATTACTGTTTCAATCTTGGTGAATAGTGGCTTTAGGAATATTTACCTTGCTGCATTCTGCCGATATTCACCTTGATTTCTAAGAATAATTGTTAAATACAGCACTAATGAAATTAAGATCTTAGTACCCTATCCTTGTATAAAGCAATACCAGATTCAGGGTGCAAAGAAAGTCATTTTACAGCTTGCCAGTCAGGCAAGCTGAAGCTAGCATTTACTAGCCCAAATGTCATTTCAACTAGCCCCCAAAATTTTTTGATGAGCAGCATAATTCTAATTATTGATTTCACACTTCTTCCGTACGTTGAATTCCTCAAAATACTTCACTTGCCCATCAGGCAAGTTAAGAACAGAATTCACTAGCCCGATAGCAAAATCCACTTGCTCTGGGCTATCGGACAGTACTTTCTTTGCAAGCTGACCAGATTTCCAGGGGCAGGGGAGGGTACTTTAAGAATTTGTGGGTGGGGATGTGCTCCTGGGACCCTGGAACCCTTAACCTATACCAGGGCTGTGCTCTAGCAGAGCCCGGTGGCCCCTGGTGCCTAACTTTTACCCTCGGGCGACTAGAAAATCTCAAATTTTTCATACAAATCTTATGCTGGGCACCCTGGATTTTACAGTTTCAGAGCACTGGGCTCCCTTCAATTTTCGTTAGGGCACAGCCTTGTATACCAGAGCTAATTCAGCTGAATTTTGCTACCCTATACTAGAGTAAACTCCCCAAATCCCCCATATCCTGTTTTCCAGAAACTACTGCGGTCACTAGCACAGTCTAGCCAAAACAAAACCTTATACCACAATCCCTAGTCTAGATAACATTTTCAACCAACCGATCAGTTTTATATACCCTATCCTAGAGTAAACTGCTTGAAAACAATACCCTTTACAGCGGTACATACCTATATAGCCCATATATGGTAGTACCCCTGCCCCCCACCACCACCGCCCCGGGACCAGAATACACCTTTCCTATTTTTAAACATGTAAAGGAAAAAAGGAAAAGAAGTTCTTTTTTCCTTTCTTCCTCTAACAGAGCTTTAGGGCTAAAAGTTAGTTCATAATCAAATGTAGAACATTTTGGGATTTTTTCACTCAGTTAAAGGGGAATTCTTACCGTCTAAATAAACAAACTTAGGATTATAGATCTTTACAATGTAAGTTTATGCAGCAGTAATTTGATCAATGGTAATGTTAAATGTTAACCACCTGTCAGAAGTTTGGACTGGAACCACGATGCAATCTAGTTCTTCTGAAAAACATAAAAGCATTGCTGAAGTCTTGCACAGCACAGCTAAGATTGGATGATAGGGATGCCACTCGCAGCATTGAGGAACAGATACTGTAGAGTACTCTTTCACGACCTTGACCACAGTTTTCCCAGGTTGCCTGAACAAAACAACGACCTTTTCTTTCAAAATAACTGAAATAAAACATCCATTGGATCCCCATGTAAATGCACTACACGAGACGCCTAACACAAAGCCGTCAAATTCTCCAACTAAAGATGGCTCGTGTGCTGAAGTAGTAGTACATGAAGTTTCTTTTCCGTTAGATTGGAAATTCACAGGCAGTATCCATACGTTTTGTCCATCAGTCCAGAATAGCCTGTATTGTTGTACATTTGGGTCCTTTTGTTCGTATATTTGAAGACTTTGATGTAAATAATTGGCGTTCGATCTTAGAAAGTTGCAACTTCCAAGCTCAACCTTTGCCGCCATTTTGAAAAACCCACCGTCCTTTGCGGCAAAATTGATACCAGGCCCAAGGCAGTGATAAAAAGGTGTAAGGATGGGAAAGGTCTCAAACCCTGACCAACAGTCAGTAAGTTTTGAAGCTGGAAGGGTGTCTTACGACCGTCATTCGCTTCGTTTTGCCAGCCTCCATGATCCACACTCTTTCAAAATTGACACCGGTCCAAACAGACACAGAAAGTGGTGGTCTGAAGTATGTGAAGTGAATGATGAGGTAAAAAACAAAGAATGTAAAGCTTAGACAATTAATTTTTTTGCCAAGGACCAGTTTCTTGCAGTTGGTGTGGAAGTGAAAGACTTTTCCAGAAGAGTACTATTGCGTAGTTCAGTCACAACGCACGAAACTGGATCCAGAAATGGTAATGGCCCGGACTGGTCAATGAGATCAAAGAGCCAACTGCCGTGGGAAATTAAGTCCATATCATCTGTTCTTTCCCTTAATCTTCACGTAATTCAGGAGCCTAAATTTTGGTTAGCACTCAGTCCCTGATTGACGCGATCGCCTGGATCCACCAACAAAATTGAAAAAAGAATCTTCAAAGATTTCAGTCTTCATCAGAGATCAGGAAGAGCGAACACGAAAGCAGGGAGGCGTATGCACATATTACGAGTGTGCAAAAAAAAAAGGCTATACGGCTAGACTCTCTACATCACCTCTTCCACACTTTGATTATACCTAGTTTTACTTATGGCATCAGCAGTATGGGGTGTTGCTAGTTATGATAAGTATGTTTCCAAAAGTTTCAGAAAAGGGCAGTTCGTTTAGCTTTCCTTAAGGAGGTTTCACCCGTTTTAAGTCAGTTTAGAGGCCTCACATACTTCTACTGAAGGCCCTTTGTTAGATCTCCTCCCAATTTTTCAAAACAAGATCGCTAAGGAATCGTGGTCATTCCTATGTACTTCCTCAGATTAGGACCGAACGTTTTAAACGCTGTGTTATTAACAGATGCCTCTTCAATTTTATTGAATTGTTTATTGTAATGAAGAATGTTTGTTTTTTGGAACTAATAAAGAGCTTTACTTAAACGGAAGGAAACCCCTTTTCCCAGATCACGCGCTCATATTTTCGCGTGTGCCTTCAGCTTACTCGTCATCCCTGGTATCAGAGAGCCTGGAACAGGCTATATCTCAATCGGCTATCAAAATGACTTTTAAACAGTTTTAAATTAGAACCAGATTCTGTATCTACGACAGTTAAATCTACAAACTTTCTGACTACCCAAAGGACAACTCCTTCTAGACTTGGAGAAACTGCAGATTCCAGTTCTCTATGCAGCCCATTAAGAAATGACCAAGGAATCATCAAGCTCAGGCGGATTTCTCTCCTTCTGATGATGATCTATGAAGTTGCCAAAAAGTTGCTATTTTTTTCAAAAAGTTGCCTAAAAGTTGCTGAATTTCCAAAAAGTTGCCGAAAAGTTGCCCAAATTTTTCTGCTTTTCGAACCTTTTTGGGTGTTAAAGATTAAAAATTCGTACATTGCTTCTTATCAAAACTTTATTTGTCAAAGTCCAATGATAATATCAGAGGTTCTTTCCATTTCATTTGATCAACAAATAGTCTATCAAAATGACATGAACAAAACATGGTAATTGTCCGCCATCTTGAAAAACGTGCAACGTGATACCGCTGACCTCGTGATAAGGCATCACAAAAATCAACCCATGGGGGGGGGGGGGGCTTTAGGCCCTAATTATTGTAGTTTAGAATAAATTGAATAAATGTCTATCGAAAACTGACCAATGTGGCTCAAAACGTGAGGAAAGTGGTTTCAAAGAACCTCAAAAAGCCCAAAGATGCCGAAAATTCTAAAAGTTGCCAAAATTCTAAAAAGTTGCCGAAAATCTCAAAAGTTGCCGAAAAGTTGCCGAGCAACTTGTGGCTAAGCCTACTTTCTTGCGCCCAAGTATTTCCCAAGCGCATACTACGCTACCCTTACCCTGGGTGCCAGAGACTTTTCTAGCGCGATTTCCGGTTTCTGTCCAGTCTTTGTAGTGACCCGCTACCCTGGGTACCAGAGGTTGTTTCTCGCGTGCGACCAGGAGCTTCGTCGGCCGCAGCCCGACTCGACACGAGCGGCGAAGCCACGAGAAAAAACCTCTGGCGCAGAGCGCTTTGTCTCTAATCTGTCAATCAAATCGACGGTCGCAAGCTAATAGGCCATTTCCGAGTTCCCCCGGGCCTCTGTATCAAAACGAGGTCAGGTGCTCAACCTTTGATATGGAACAGGCTATGGAAATGATTTTTCATTCTCATGCAAATAAAACTCATTTCCACAAGAAAGGTTGAGTACCTAACCTCGTTTTGATACAGAGGCCCGGAGGAACTCGGAAATAGCCTACCGGTATTCAAAAGTAATCACCAAGGGAGGAATGACACGCTCCAGCGCAAAGAGTCACATAGCCTGCGAGCAAGCTCTCCTATTTGGGCAAGCGAAGCGAGCCTCGCGCGTTCTCGCGAGACCTGTTTCACTCGCCCAAACAGGAGAGCTTGCTCGCAGGCTAAGAGTCACATTGTTTCCAGAATAACAAGTTAGAGTTTTAATAAAAATCATTGCTTAAAGAGCAATTTTGTCACAGTGCAGTTCTCCTTAATTAATGTAGCTTCAGTTTAAACTGCAATCCATTCTTCCAAATTTGGATCTGTAAATCACTAAGGAGAAAAAAACATCCTGCAAAACTACTAACGAGCTGGGCCCAGCGTGACAGAACATTGGAGGAAACTTTCACATTTGATTACGGACAAAAGAAAATCGCTTTTAATCATTCAGATCTAGGAAGGACAAAAGTTTTTTTTAGCTGCAACGGAGAAGTTTACGTTTCAAAAGAGGTTAAAGAAAATGCTGTCGATTCGCATCAGAGGGAAAATCATGCCGACCAGAAATAAACCGCAGAAAATCAATTCTTGGGTTGCACGTGACGTCACCAAAAATCAAACTAAGGAACTATCGATTCTTCTGAGTTTCTACTTTCACAAGGTATTACAATACCTAAACACCTTTACATAAACAAATTTTTGGTTCGAAAGGGTTCTTCGTTTTGCGAGAGAGGACGCTTGAATTTCCAGGCTTTTGCGTGACGCGGCATTTAGCTGGCGGCCGGGAAAGCTCTTATGTGGGTTAAAAACATTACCGATTTTTGGAGATTTTGCAATCTAAACATTCCTTGTCTCAGAATAAATATTACTGTAATCTTTATGAGTTCCTCAAGCGAAGAATTCACGCATTAGTAGGAAAACTCGAAAACAGATGTTTCTGTTGGTATCCGGCGGCCATATTGGTGTTCCTGAAAAGGACACCAACATGGCGTTTCCATACAAAGCTTTATAGATTTAGGTAAACCGTTTTTCCCAATATCTCGCATTTGAAATATTTCACAGACCTGATTCTTGGCAAGGGTTTTTGTATATTTATCTTTTTTCATTTCCCAGAATTTTAGTCCTTCTGTATTGAATGGTTTGCATTTTTATTTTTCATTGCGTGACAGTGCAAGCCGAGAATATGGGTGTCACGACCTCTCAGTATGAAAAAAGCAGCAAAAATAATGCACATTTGCTCAGTCGTAATCTACCCGCTGCCCATTTAAACACACTGCATATGCCAGGTAGTAACTGGAACAGCAGTGATTTTCCATAGCCGATCGATCCTTTGAATATAATTGCAATGTCCTCTCTTAGTCCCACACTTATTTCCTCCACACCATCGAATGTTCCAATGACTTCGGATATAGCCTGGTCTAAATCTTCTGTTTCAATTCTATTCCATAAAGCAAAAACAAAAACTACGTGAAGTGTGCTTCGGTTGTTTCAAACCACCCGCGTCCCGATCACGCGCCTTTCGTGATTGTAATCCAGTCAGAGCGTTTGAAACATTCGATATCTCCAAGGAATCAATCAGCAAAACATCCAGATTCTGGATGTTTTGGTGTAAGCAATTGGCTCGGCGCTATCAAAGGGATGGCGCTCTTGTCCAGAGGCTTTTCTCGCGGGTCACTTTTTAAGACTTAACCGAAACTGCAAACCGCGCATGAAAAGCCCCTGGTACCCAGGGTATAGCCTCCCAAGCAGACGTTCCGTAGGGGTTCGTCACGCGTTCCTGCCGCACGAACGGCTACCCAGGGTACTGCTACGCAGGTAACCTAATAATAGAAGGATATTGTTAGAAACAGTAAACGCCGAACTCAAAATCGCTCAAAAAAACACTTTTGAGGCAAAAGGACGACAATATACCATAGGTAAGGCAATTCATCGTTTACAAGAGAGGATAAAGGGGACAGAGAAGGCATCCCCCATACACACCCTATTCCATAGGTAATTCGTCTCGAGTTATTTTTAGAATCGGGATTAAGTTACCTCGCGCGCTGCGTGGATGTTTCGTGGAGGTTTCGCATGACTAAACGCCATGCAACTCCAATGTCGGGCGAAAGGCAATGAAAGCGTAAAGAGATCGAGAGCATTTCTGAATATTGAAGCGAAATGAGTCGGCGCTCACCTGGGAAACGGAGAATCGCTCGACTCTTTGACAACCCGTGAAATCAGTTTAACTCGAAGTTATCGTAACCTCAGTGCTTTAATAAAATAAGAAATTTCGCCGGTCTATTGAAACCGGTCGTTTGTACAATAAAGCAAGTAGCAAGTAATATTCATGTACATGTAATTAGTTTTACAAATCTGAATTTTGTTGTAGTTTTTTTAAGTTGTTAAGCGCTGTTGATCAGTGAATGTAAATAGCGCTCTAGAAGTTATTAAATTATCATTATTATTATTATTGTCATTATAGGGCGCCAAGTGTTATTTTTGTTGAATAATAAAAGATTAATAAAAAAATAAAAATCAAACTAGAAATTGCTCTCTTCAAACTGTAAATTATAAATGATCCTGAGAGAATATTCACTGTGTTAAGGATTTCCCGGCTGTAATGTTAGCTCTTTAAAAGAGAGGAATTTCCGTTTCGCTGACACAGCTTTAGCAGAAATCTCTCTTTAGTCGTTTTCTTCGACAAAACGAATAGCAATATTGCTCTCCGCGTCTTCCGCCATTTTTTTCTGCCTCAATTCGTGAAGGACGCGTGGCTCTGAGCGTGGGTCATCCACGCGGAACACATTCGCGCTATGTGATTGGCTATTGTCTAATCCCCCTTGGGATCTGTGGTCTTAAAAATAACTCGAGACGAATTACCTATGGAATAGGGTATGTATGGAGGATGCCTTCTCTGTCCCCTTTATCCTCTCTTGTCGTTTATTAATATTGATTTATAGACATACTTAACGATATTTCGCCATAGGTGATGCAAACGGTAAATCCAGTACATTTACTATAAAATAACAATCGGTTACCCGGTGGGTACTGCCATATATGCATTTGATGGGCTCCTGATGGAGTATATAGGTATGTGCCGCTGTGAAGGGTATGGTTTTCAAGCAGTTTACTCTAGGATAGGGTTTATAAATCAGAGCGTTTGGGTCAAGAATAGGGTATCATTTTTCAGCAAACTGATCAGTTGGTTGAAGATTTTATCTAGACTAGGGACTGTGGTATTAGGTTTTGTTTTGGCTGGTAACCTAAACCTGTTTTGTGCTAGCCTGCGAGCAAGCTCTCCTATTTGGGCGAGCGAAGCGGGTCTCGCGAGAACGCGCGAGCGAGCGACGAAGCCGCGAGGGGCAGAGGAAAGGACAGCTTGCAACGATCTCTCACAAAATTTCATTTGTACTTCGCTCAGACGAAGGCAAATACCATTGGATGAAAAATGACGTTCCGGAAAAACAAACTTGAATGATAACAGGCCAAGCTGGCACCTCCTTCGTCAGCGTGTCAAGTTTGGTTCTCAGGGGGATCAGATTGGTACCGACAACTTGTTTCAGCCCTCAAAGCAGACGTGGGGCTCGTTGGATTTAGTTCTCGCAAAGAGAACATTGCGAGCCGAGGATAAGTCGGACCGAGTTTTTAGTTCTTGTGGAAGGAAAATGAAAACCCTTCCTCAGTTGCTTTCGTTTGTATCAAGCGCCTTTTTTAGTTCTGAAAACGAGAAGAGTGAAAGTGAAGAGAGATTCAAGCGCCCGGTTCAAGCGCTGCCTTCCAACGTCGGTTTCTTCGCCCAATTGAATTCCACTGGGTAGAAAAAGTCAGAAACATGTACTTGACAGTGTAGCTGTGTACCTTGACTGTAAAGAAGGGCAAGAGAAAGAGTTGATAGCAACTGGAGTACAACTTAAGAGAACCAAGTCGAGGAAAACGCTTTTCTCCAGCTCCGGAACGGACAAATACAAGTCTAATATATAATGTTTTTGTTGGTGATTGCGACGGGGAGTAGTCTACACTGCAGTATAGACGACTTTTCAAAAGTAAACGAAACGAGAATCAAAGTATTGAGTTCTCATCCGAGCGGACACGTTGAAATTCCATGTTCTCGTGGAAAAAAAGCATATCTTCAGTGATTAAAAACATTGTTTTTTTGTGTGTTGCGAAACTGATTTATAAATAAATAATTCTACGCGCCCTCGGCTGTCTAAACTTAACAGGCGGTTGTCACTTTTTTAATCTGCGGCACGTTTGCGGTGACAGTTTTCACGCTTTGCGGAGTCCCGGGGTTTTCGCGATGGAAATGAAAATTTAGGAGAGATCGTTGCAAGCTCTCCTTTCCTCAACCCCTCGCTCACGCGTTCTCGCGAGGCTCGCTTCGCTCGCCCAAACAGGAGAGCTTGCTCGCAGGCTTGTTTTGTGCTAGTAACCTCAGTAGTTTCTAGAAAACAGCTACTCTAGGATAGGGGGGATTTGGGGAGTTTACTCTAGCATAGGGTAGCAAAATTCAACTGAACTAGGACTGGTATAGGTTAAGGGTTGTAGGGTCCCAGCGGCACATTCCCACCCAGAAATTCCCTAAGTATCCCCCCCGGGTCGGTTACACACACATCGTGCGGGCGCCCAGTGGTTTTACGTTATATGACGAGTCGTGTTTAGCCTCTCAACACTTTATTTCTGTTTGGCTGGGAAAACTGAAACCAAATAAGTTGTCAACACGATGTCAAAATTAGTTGAAGGAGATGGCAGCTGAAAAGGCCACGAATCCGGGCAGGCTCGAGACAGTCATGCAAACCCGAGACGAAGTCATGCATAACTGTCGAGAATTCTCCCAACCCCTCTCGTGTTTATATCAGGCTATGCAAACACAGGGAAAAAGTTTTCTATTGCTTTTGTAAATAACTTTCCCGAGAAAAAAACGCAAAACTCTTTGTATGGCCCTGATTAAAAGAGAAATTCTTACCAGTCGTAAAGTCTTGTCTACGAAGTCTTGCAAGCGCGATCAGTTCTTGTTTTCCAAAATACGGACTTTTCTCGCTTAAAATGTCAGCTTAAGCAAAAAAATTGACACACTTCCTTTGTAACGATTTTTCAAGTTTCAGCCGACGAAGGAATGGGTAAATAAAGTAAGCTTGTCAAGTTTTGAACTCGAAAACGTTTTCAAATTCGTGCTTGCGTGATTAGTGCGCGAAAAGCAAAACATCTTGACGCCACAACCTCACGCAAACACTCCTCTTGGCCAATCAGAACACGCGTACTATCTTAGTTATTTTATATACAGCATGAACATGTGGGTGAAACTAGAAACTTGGGCAGAAAAAACCGGATGCTCTCGCAGGCTAATTTCATTGATACGTGTCAGTGTCGAGATCGCCGAGGTTCTGCAGCGTTGGAATTTTGTGCCCTCGTCTTTTGAAACTGTACCGTTCTTCTAGGATCTAGAGGCAATAGCGCTGAAAGGTAAGAGGTTTTTCTTTTCTTCTTTTCCTCTTCGAAGCAATTGCGATAAAAATTAAAAGTACGTTAAGTGATTTTCAGAATAATTACTCAATTCAGTATCTGTAAACCAAATACCAAACACTATCCGTTTGGCAATTCACGGTATACAATATTTAACTCTCCCATCTAATTTCCTTGCAAAAGTAGTCCAGCTTTATTTGCGCACGAGTTTCAGAGAAATACACTTTTGATTCCGTAGAATTGCGGTTAAAAGTTTTCCTTCGGAGACGAGGGGGGGGGGGGGCGGTACTCCCTACAACGACCTATATGGGAAGGCTCCGCCCGAAAAGGGGTAGCTTTTTCAGCCTTCAGGTGAAGTAAAGGTTAGAAATTTCCGTCGATAAAAAGGCCCAGAAGGGGCTAACGGATTTATTTTATGGCTGTGAAAAAATCGAACGAGAAACAAAGAGCAAGAAATATCAAGGAGCCCCATGGACATAACTTTGAGGCTGTAGCGCACTTGAAACAGTTTTCTATTCAGTTATTAGCTTAACGACAGACTCGGCAACTTAGAGAGGCTCTCATTCGTTTTCAAAACCAGTAAACTAAAGGCATTATTTGCTCTGAATATGGACGAGACAAAAGATCACATTTTAAGCAAGAAATTCTGTTTTTTTTTTTGACGGGAAAGTTAAAGGATGCAACGACTTTTTATCCCTTACCACAAGTGTATACCACCCCATTATATGAAAGCTAGTAGCACTCGTAACAATGGAATGTGAAACAGAGGACACTTGCAACGTTGAACTCTTTTGGAGCTGTTTTAACGAAGTTTTAAGGAAGAAAAAGAAAGATGATAGCATTGTTTTAACCCAAGAGGTTGGATAACAGGCATGGCTGGATCAAGCATTGAGGGATTAAAAAGAGCCAATGGTGGTCCTCACGCGTTGCATAAATTAAAAACAGACGAGTTTCACTTCAAAGAGTGCGAGAAATAGGCACGCAAGAAAATTAAATGAACATGATAGACGTTAGTGGCAGCTTTCAAAGATAATGGATTTCCAATTTGTAATTCTCGTTTGACCTAAGTAATTAGTCTACAAAAAAGATAGGAATGAACGAGGATAAGAATAACGTTTATTTTTTAACCAGCGACCCGTGACCCGCGACGATTAGACACTCTGTTTTTTTTGTTTTTTTGCATATCAAGCAACGTTCCCGCAAAAAACGGCTGCGAGGGAGACTACGGCGCATCAGAAGATGTTTTTTTCTGGAAAACTACATTTCATAAGCTTTCCATAGTGACCAAAATCAAAACTTTTGGACGATTTTTGACCGAGTTACAAATTTTAGAGTAACGTAGATTTTTTGCACGCAATTAGACTTGTAGTAATCTGATCATGAAATTGAATAACACAGATGAAAAGAACTTCAAGAGTTTATGAATATAGCTTTATGCGTCTAAATTCTTTAAGGAACTGATCGTTTATTACATCCCAGTGGGGAGGGGGGGGGATGGGGGAGGTTTCGGAGAGGGGTACGATTTTCTAAGAGGCTTAATTTTGGGAGGTCAATTTTGAAAATACACAGAGGCGGGTCGAAATATTAAGACACAGGACTGGTCTATGTAAAAGTGGTCAAACTATATTATGATTAAAAAAGGACAAAAAAAATACACTTTGGCGGTTCTTTGTCAGCAACAAAAAATTACCCTCATAAAGCTCGGCCTATTCTCTATTTTCCAATTGCCCATAATACACTCTGTTTGCCCCCCAAATTCTGCATAAACCATTATTTTTAAATGCTCCTGGGAGTATTGCATTTTCCCAAGAGCATTTTAAGACAATAAGTTATGCAAAATTTGGGGGGCAAACGAGAGTGTATTATGGGCAATTGGAAAATAGTCAATGAACCTTAACGTCTCTAGCATAAAACATTATTTGCATCTTCTCTTTTAAGACACAAGATGTTATCGTTTAAAGAGAGAGCAAATTGGACACCAGCCGAAGCCAGGGCTCAGTTTCGGCAGAACTTCTTTCCTTTCGTGCAGTCTGGAGGAATTGCAGCTCCTTACACTCAAGTCAGCGTACATTTTGTGCCATCGGCTGAAGCAAAACTCTTTGCTGAATTTTGCCGAGTAAACCATGGTCCGTGTCCTGTCGTTTATCAGAGTGAACCTGGACAAGTTACAGCCCCACCTATAGCTGCTGATTTAGATATAAGGCAAGTTATTTAAGCAATAGACCACACTTTCTATGGGTTTACCGGCGTGATAACCCACGCGGGATGTTGGGAGAACACGAGAAAAGCTTGTAAATCACGAGCCGAAGGCGAGTGATTTACAAGCTTTTCGAGTGTTCTCCCAACATCCCAAGCGGCTTATCACGCCGTTAAACTCATAGAAAGTGTGGTCTATTGCTTTTATAAAATAACTTTTAGTAGAATGGAGTCTTTTAGGTAAAAAATATGGTTTTAGTACCGTGATCAAGTCATGTCTTCTCTCTAAAGTCATCATAAGCCAATCATGACTCACGATTTAATAGCGCCGAACTTTCTCAAAACTCAGTTCAGTCAAACAACAAACAGCAGCACTTCAAAACAGGAGTTTTTGCACTCATTATATGATAACTTATGAAAGCTGTTTTACAGGAAAAGTCAACATTTATTCAAGCGAACGTACAATGAAAAAANTTGTCGCATGTAACTTTTATATGCACGTACAGCGACCGATGGAAATATGTCAGTGGTGGAGAAAGGTTTCTTTGCCGTAGTCACATATTGGCGTTAATATTTGTCGATTTGTAAAGTCAGGTGGTTTGAGGTAGGTTATGGCATCCATATCACCGAATAATTTGTGCAAATGTTGGAAAAAACCAGCCCGAAACTCTGACATCTTTCATCATCGTTGGCAGCTTGTTTACAACCTACAGTGGCCGATTTTGTACCATATCTTGATCAGAGATCTCTTTTTGGAACAATTTCTTTCATTAAGGAATTTAATTTTGACATAGAATAGATCAAGAATGCTAAAACTATCCGTTTTGTTGCTGGTTAGCACATGGTCAAGTTTTCCTGGAGACTTTCTACACCAGAAATTCACACAGTTGTTGTCTTTCTCAGCGATTTGGCATCGTCATGAAATGTAAACTGCTTTCCAGCTTTGTACTTTATTACTTCTAAAGCTATGGCAGTAATAAAATGTGAAACCAACGCTTTTGATATTAAGAAGGGCTGGGTAAGTAACTTGTTCTTTTTTTTAGCCTTTCTAAAATCATTGTTTGCAGATCAATAGCCGGTTTTGTTTATGGCTTGTGGTCCGGATGCCTTTTTCTATGGGTTTACCGGTATAATAAACCATAGGTTTTTGACCAATCAGATCTCGCGTACTATCTCAGTTATTTTATAATGTATATTATATATACAATTATATACTTTTTCAGCACACAGAACCAGGTTTTGTCTCATCTCTTGTCGTCTAACCCTTACTTGGGTACATCAGTAGAGAACTTACTCATTAGGGAGTTTAAGATACGGCGACTACGGACCACGGCTACGGATAAACATGCTACTGCGCATGATCAAAACAACGTGACTGTTCATTTTTCCCGCGTAGCCCTGTGGCTACGGTGAGTTGTTGAGCTGTTTCGCGTAGCCGGGACTACGGAGAACATTTTGCTCGTATTTTGAAGTCTCGGTTATTCAAGAATCTCGTCTTTTCGTAAACAAGACGTCTAAAGTCGTTTCCGTGGGATGCGTTGGTCGATGGAAGCATAATGGCGTTCTATCTGAATTTGGAAAAATTAGGGAAACCGGAAAGATGTGTCATGTTATGAGCATCGATGAGTAGGTTACCTGTATGGGTTGGTTTAATGTGCTTATGACTGAATTTATAGTAGCCTGCGTGACAGGCTACCATTTCTCCCTGATCCACATCCCCTTTTGGCTTCCCCCCTATCCCCTACCCCTTTCGACACCTGCTACGCAAGCTAAATTTATAGTTGTCACTGGTCGCAAGGATGGAGTTGATCTTGTTTTGATCTATCGCTATGTAGTTATTTTCATAGCACGATTTGGATAAGAAAAAGAAGTTATTTTGCATCAAAACAAGGTTTACCCGTGTAACTTAAATTGGAATGTTAACGGAAACAAGTAATGGAGAACATGCGCATAATGCTCTCTGATTAACCTGAACAGGAACTATACGTATAAAGATACGTCATATCTTGGTAGTAAGTAGCCACAGGTAACTTTTTCAAAGAGAAATGAACAAAAAATGGAACAAAACAAAACATCCGCTTGCTTTATTCAGCGTCGAACCCAGGGTTACAAAGTTCGATAAAGTTCTAATGTTTTAATCCAAGATGAAAGTTTAATATTCCAGGATGCTCTAGATACGGTTAAAAATTAATTGCAATGTGTTTCCAAGGTCTCAAAGTTAACATAGTTCCAATGATTTTCCCTGATTCCAAGGTATAATAAGTTTAATAAGGTCCTGATCCGTGTCCCATCCAGAAGTCCAATCCATGCCGAAAGCGAGTCCTCGATCGACGAGGGCAATATTTTCGCGATTTTACCGCCAATCGTCAAGGGTACGAGTTGAAATTTACGCGATTTAACCTCCCATCGTCAAGGTGTTTTCGATAAGAAAAGAAAATAACTGAACTCTAGCTGTGCTCGGCAACAACTGGCGAACTCCGAATAGAAAAATCTATCGGAAATCACGACCCGCAACCAGACGCTACTAAAACCTTATGAAAAAGCTAGACCTAAACAAAAAAGAATCGTGAAGGAAAGAAATGATTTGGCTTAGGTCGCCTTTCGTGACTTGCCAGTATCCCGAAGGATTTCGGTGGTTAACAAGCCATCCTAAACCACGAGTGGGAAAACTCAAGCGCGACAAATTTGGCAAGGAGCGTTCTGATTTCAACGTTCTTCAGAGGAAGCAAATCGATTAAAAATCGATACAGAGTTTGTACAATCTGATTGGTCGGCTTGGAAGAAGAGATAGTCGATAAAGATTTTAGGCAATCCTATTGGCTGGCTTTGCAATTTTGGGTACAACCGAACCGGATTTTTACCGGCATCCCACGGAAAAGTTTTCAATTCACCCGCTTTAAGTGAGTGAGAGGGAAATATGTAAGTTGTGTCTAATTTCTGCTCAGATTTACGCTTTTAATCCACTGTTGTGACTACATTTTTATCTAGCTAGGCTCATATTTAAATAAGCTTCAGATTGACGGCCGAGGAGAAGAGAAATCATGCAGGTAATTTACTTTCTCTCCGCTCTTGAAAAGTTTCAATATTTGTTCGAACTGATTAGTGTGTCTTTCTACTTGTGTAAAAGAGGGATTACTGATTAAAAGAAACTGTTGTATGACACTACGTTAATCACTTCACAGGACAGACCAGTCAGCGTATGGAATATACCAGAGCGGAGTCTGCGTTAAAAACGTTCCAGACATCCTCGACATTCCGTTTGATGACTTCGTGACTTTCTACCTCGGGTGCAGCCACTCTTTCGAGCATGCTCTATCGAGTGCTGATCTTCCTGTTCGTCATCAACAGGTGGACCGAAGAGTGCCGAGTTACAAGACCAAGATCCCTTGCCTCCCAGTAGGCCCTTTCTGGGGAAACCAAGTATGTTCGATGCGCCCTATGCCTCGTGACTTGGTCCAGAGGGCCTTTGAGGTGACTGCTGTTTTGGACCTTGTGCACGGAGCCCCTATACATATTGGGCACCCTTGCTGGATTGGAGTAAAGGATTTGAATCACCCTGAATACGATGATAAACCAAATATACTGGAAGGGGATGTATGTCTGTTCTGGGGTTGTGGAACAACTGCTCAGGAAGCTTTAGCTAACGCAAGTAAGTAACAGTTATAGCATACCAGCTAGTGTGGCCAACTCCGCCTTCCAAGCATGGAATAGAGAGTGAAGATTGCAGCTTGTGTGTCGTGTAGCTGTAGCGTCGAGCTACGATTTAACCTCACGCTTATGTGAGCCTTAGTCACTGGAAGCTGGTTTATCTTTAATTTACATCTTTTTTATTTCAGGTTGTACAAAAAATTTGTTATAAGGTACAATTGCCAGTAGAGCCAAAACAATTCAAATTTCTGGAACCGTTTCCCGCCTTACTTGCAATCCTCAAGAAAAAAAGACAGTCATAGCGTAAAAAACAACAACAAAATCATAATTACGTAATAATGGTTCATTTGTTTATTACTTATCATACACTTTTTTACTAAAATTGCTGTAATTGTATTTTTTTTCACTCTCTTGTTTGTTACCAGTTAATCGTGTTAGTTAGAGTGGTTTTAATTTTTATTCAGTTCTACCTAAATCGACGTGCTGAGTTCGTGAAAAATAGTGGCCGTTTTCAACCCCGATACTAACTAGTTTTCAGACAGGCTCTTAAATAGTCAGAGACTCTGTCAACTTTACTTAAATTAGAGCACCAACTACAAGATTTCTTAAAATCCATTCTAATTCACATATTACTTTTTCTTTCATGTTCATTCTGAATTGAAACGACAAAATACGTTAACTTCATACATTCCGGTAGTTTCTTCGAAATCCATACTCGATTGAGAACAGCCGCCGGGTTAGCTCAGTTGGGAGAGCGCCGGTCTGCTGAGCGGGAGGTCGCGGGTTCAAACCCCGGCCGGACCAACACTCAGGGTCTTTAAATAACTGAGGAGAAAGTGCTGCCTTTGTAATAATATCTGCAAACGGCTAGACTTTCTACTCTTCTCGGATAAGGACGATAAACCGTAGGCCCCGTCTCACAAGCCCTTGCACATGTATTAAATCTGTGGGACGTTAAAGAACCCACACACTCTTCGTAAAGAGTAGGGCACGTAGTGCCCGGTGTAGTGGTCTATCTCACTTTCACACTCATGTATGGGGGCATCATTACTTATTCCTTCATTACTTGTAAACTGCACCTTAAGCAGTCTGGCAAAGTCCCCCAACCAGTGTTGTAAATTATCCCTGAAAAGCCCTGAGGGGAGTGGATAATAAGATATTTACAATTACAATTACAATTTACAACAAAATGGGCAAAGTCTACAGACGTTTTCAGATCGAAACAGCGCAAAAACCATACCCTTTAAGGCGGCACATACCCACATGTACAATATGATGGAGAATCCCCTCCCCCTTGCAGGGGAGAAGCAGTTTCAATTGACTGTAACAACGCCCGATTCAGGTTTGATTGTGTTCATAACTGGGGATAAGCCTGTTCCGCTTTCCACTATCTGAACGCTTGGAACAGGCTAACTGGGGATTTCCGGAAAGGATGGCTACCGTTGAATCTTGTGGCACGTTTTTGGGTCAAATGACTAATATCAGTATTTTTTAAAATTTTCAGAACTTCCCTTAAACGTAAGTATGAGCCAGTCTGGAAACTGTTGTAACTTTATAACAGATCTCGTAAATGAAGATTTTAACAAGATGCATGTCCCAAAGGAAGGTACTCTTCAACCGCGAGTGGTTTTCATATCCGAAGGATTCGTTTTTGGCTCTGTCCTTTCCGACAAGGCAATGAAAATGATTCAAAATCTGGCTAAACTTGAGAAACGCGATCAGCTCAAAGACGACAGTCTGGCTCAAGCAGCTTTGAGACTCAGTCACGCCACCTCTGTTGCCATAGTAACATCAGGCAGTGTTTCCACCCGGGAAGGCTTCAGTGTGCTGTCAATCATCAAGGCCGCTATGGCAACTGAAACTAGAGAGGTAGTTCTTCTTGTGCCAGAGGAGAAGTGCCCAGAGTGGTTAAATGCTGTCAGACGTTTGTTTGATTTAGGTTTGCTGAAGAAGCCAGTTCCCATCACCAAAATTGAAGCAGACGATATAAAGACTAAAACTGACGCCTTGAAGGTTTCTCTTCCCGTTTTGTCAAAGATGGAGGGCTTCAAGCTAAAGGGTGTTAATCCTCACAGATATACCGCTTTAGTGGGGTGCAATAGTGAAGGTATGTAACATTCTTTTGAAGCAGCTACTTAAGGCTCTGAAAATGGACCGTTGACCATAGGTGGGACTAGCTCGAAACATGAGCATCGGCGCATCGGTCGTGTAACCTTTATAAAATATAAGGACTTTTATGGTGAAAAATAATTGATTTTGTAACGTAGGGATTAGAAAGTACTTAAATAAAAATCGGCTAACCTTACTTTAGTGGTGTGTTTCTTTTTTCCTGTGTGCTTTTGTGGTCATTTTATGTGTTTTACTGGAACGGATTATAGAGAGAACAAACCGGTTCCAATAAAACACATAAAATGGCAATAAATTGGCTCGAGGACCACTCAGGAAAGAAGAAACGCACAACTTGAACGTGAGGTCCGGTTAGAAGACTCGAAATAGCCAGTTAAAAGGTAAACGCAGGTCTTATTAACCAAACTTTCTTTAAGGCGTACAAGACCTTCCCAACATTCTAACAGAAGCTGCCTTTGATTCGAAATTTCCTTTAAGAGATCAAAGCTTTAGTCCACCCCGTTTTCATGCGGTTCTCAGATGACTTCAATATATTCCGATTTCGAGCAATTTTCCTTTGGGGACTTTTAGTAGTTGCAAAGCGAAAACTGTCAAAATACCATCTGTAGCAATACTTGTATTGTAGGCTAGCTCGCCTTTTTCCTTCCACAAAATGACTGGGCAATTGAATTTCAGCGGGTTCTATTTGTTCAAGACACTTTTATTTTTGGCGTTCGAAGGTAAACCTAATAAGCCATTTGCACGATGACTTCATTCTACCACTACAACCAGGAATCTTCAGGTGTTTACTTTCTTGTGCAAATTAGGGCCTTTGTTATTTAAACCTCACTGGGATTACCAAATTCAAATATGAAAGGAAAAACGATCAGGATTCCGTTCGTAGTAGTAAAATGATGCCATCGTGCAAGTGGTCTATTAAGCATTTTAGCGGCTTTTTAAACACTGTATTGTTAACTGCTTGTATATTAATCCTTCCAGGAGAATTGTGGGTCGAGTGCGCAGCTGAGTTGATGGCAGAAGAAACTAACGCATGCCAGCTGGTGACAGAAACCGCTGATTCTTCTTGGCCTGGAGTAGTGTTAGCAGCGGCCTTGTACACTCTCAATTGTTGTCCAGTCCATTCTCGCTATTTACGTCGAGGTCTCGGAGAACACAAGCCCTCACAACTAGGCGAATTCATAATGACTGCTCAAAAGGTACCGCGTGTCCCTTTACTTTCGCAAGCTATGCGCCAAATAATCTAGTAAAACCTGGCATTTAAATTGAATTGCTGACATTTTCCTACCACAAGTTTTGTCAAATATTTTCACAAAACTGAAAGCCTGAAAGTGGAGAATTCTATCCGTTGAAGAATGCAACAGTGTTGATCTTTTTTCGTTCCTTGGAGTAGGCTAAGATAGTGTCTGCAAAAGTGGATGTGAATTCTTGGGTTTAAAGTGGTCGGATTTTTAACTTGATAAAAACGGCAAACGTGGTAGTGCATTTCTCGAAAATAGCTTGAAAACAAAATGCCCTCTTGCATTTCATGTGAAATGCAGGGAATCGCTTAGCAGTGAATAAGAGAAACCCAAGGCTGGATTTTACTTTATTTTGAGCCACAATGCGCCAAGAAAAATGCCGATGTAACCAAGTGTTTATTTCCTATTTTTACAGCTTGCAACACTGATGACCGAGTTTGACGTCAGCTTCAAGAGAGAAAAGATGGAGGATCTTGTGAAGGGAACAAGATTAGTCCTTGAAGAAGCTGAAGCGTTGGCAAAGCCAGCTTGTTAAGCTTGACATACCTAAAGAGCGTGCAGAAATGTTCAGACCCAAGAACGTTCGAACATACATTGTGTCCGAATTGTTTTTTTTTCTTTTTTTGGCAATCGTAGAGTGCGTTTGGTTAACTTTTTCTAAAAAAAAGTATTTTTTTCGTTTCTTAATGTTTTGGTCAGTATGACTGACTTTTCCGCTTATATAGCGGATCAGCCTCATTTTGTCGTATTTGCAATTGAAAATAAATTATTATTTTAATAAAGTTGAATTTGAGCTGTTTATTGACGACAGCGATTTCCCATGAACAATTCTGGATGTAGTAGTAGCTCACGGGACAATTTACACCGAAAATTTTTAGCCCAACACAAACGTGCACGCAAAATCCGTTGAAAACAGACAAGTTACACGGGACAATTCTTAGCACAACAAAGAAAGCAAAAAGGTGTTCGTTCTCAAAAGGCCTTGCGCGGAAAATTGCCGAAACAAACTTGGCTGTAATTCGTTGGCGTTGAAAGTTTTTTGAGCCTGTTTACAAGGTGTGAAAGCCTGTTCCACGCACCCATGAACTATGCTGGCATCAGCCTGTAGCTCGCACCTAAGTTGCACTAAAAATCGTCGTTGCGAATCGTCCCTTGTAACATCACTTATACGAAAAACGAAGAGTAAACTGGAAAAATTCCGAAAACGTCAGTGCAATAGCCACCAGCCGATGAACTTTCACACCTCTTCTTGATTGACGAAGATAATTTCACACTATGAGCCTCGTAAAAGCCCATCTTGAGGATGAAGTTCGTTGCTTTATTAAATTCGAACACGTTTGCATCCTCTGAATGCGGCTTTTGTAGGATTGGCTTAATGATTTTTGTCAAATTTAAAGTGTGCCAATTTCAACTCCAGGCGGGTTGCAATTAGAACTTTATGACAATTATAGTTGTGAGAAGCCCTATGATCTTCTTCTCAACAGCTTGAGAAAGCGTAGCAAGACGGCTACCCTGGCGTCAGCACATTTCTTCTTTATTCACGTGACTCGTTTACAATGCGGATAGGATTATCCTGGCGTTAGGTTAACCCTTCTTGCCGAGCGCAAGGGTAACCTTACCTGCCTTGTAAAATCTCTGCCTGGGATAAATCGCCAACCCTGGTCAGCTTTGCTCCATCTATCCTCTTTTACCTTGGTTTCCACAATCTGAGAAGAACTGATGTAGAAAGCCATGCCAGTAGATGAACGAAAAAATGTATCACTGTTCATCGTTTCAGCGATCTGCCATAACAGAAATAGAAATAAAATCAAAATAAGATTCTCGCATTAAAAATGAGTTACAATGTGTTCACAACATGAAGATAAATTATAAAAACCTTATTAGAACAAAAGTTTACAATATGATAATTAAGAATCTTAAAACCTTACAATAATAAGGTTCAATCATATTTACTAAAAATATACTAACCTGAGTGCAACTCGTCAACTAAGAATTAGATGCAACTTTTGAAAGATGCTGCGTTTGCCATTAGGATAGCAGTGGCGGATCCAGACTTTCAGGTGGGGGGGGGGGGGGCACCCAGCCCCTGAGAAAAGGGGGGGCGGCCCCGGTTTGGTCTGAAAAAAAGGGGGGGGGCCCCCCCGGGCCCCTCCCCTGGCCCCCCCCCTGGAGGTTCCTAGGTGGGAAGCTTTGCTTACAAACCCCCCAGGCC